TTGAGGGAGGAAAGCTGGACCATTAAGACAGCACCTACCATTATTTCTTTACTAGATATATTCTCTCTACTGTTGCCAGAACGATGGTTTAACCATAAAAGGCAAGTAAGATGATACCATTTCTCTGTAAACATTCTCCCTGTGATGTTTCAATAATTATGTTGTAGGCAAAACTTCTAACATGGTATTCAAGGAAGACATTTGCTAGCATGGGCTGAGTCTGGCAAAGCAATGATAATTCTTGTTATGTACCTCACTCTCGAGTTACAAGAACATAAGAATGGTATCCTAGTTTACAAATCCCCAGGAACCAGCATCTTCCACTTTACATATCATTAAGTATATCTTTATCAGCTGACATTTAGATTTATGTGCTTGAGTACAAAACTACTGTTTGTCAAGAAGGCATGTTGTATGCTAAAAGTAAGTTCACACTACATTTTCCTTTTAAATCTAGTTATGTTTATAACTGAGAATAACATATTAATACATAAGCTATGTAAATATTTTAAATGTTTGGTGATGGGCCTTTGCAAACAAGTCAATTCAGTGTTCATGAGAGATGGATAAAAGATTTTTGGAGAGTGAGGTTGCATATTTTAAAAGGTTTAATATAAAAAAATCTTGGCTTTGGAGATGAGTAGATAGATTTTCTTTTGGTTTTTACGAGACAGGGTTTCTCTGTATTGTTTTGGAAGCTATTGGTCCAGCCCGACCTCGAACTCACAGAGATCCGCCTGCCTCTGTCTCCCGAGTGCTGAGATTAAAGGCGTGCGCCACCACTGCCCGGCGAGTAGATAGATATTTTAAGATTAGTCTTTTGCTTGGGACTAGTCCTGATCTTTCAGGCCTGAGGTGTTGTGAAGGTGGGAGTGTCTGGCAATGTCCTTGGAATATTGGGTATCTGAGGAGAGCTGGTACCCATTAAATTAGCTGGAAGATACAATGACACAGTGACAGAGAACATGAAGAGGGTAAACAGAGGCATTGGGAGGGTTAAGCATGTTAGACATGCCAAGATGACTATGCTTGAGAAATGGAAGAACGTTACCTGACGGAGTAAGCAGAGAAAAAGTGCCACAGAATGCCACAATACAATAGAACACTTAAAGATGAAGATGATGGTAGTATTACCCAACACACAGAATTTACAAAAATAATGCTAGAGACACATGACATTAACTACAGGGCAAATAGGAGTTTCTAAGCACTTTCCTGTATTAGCCATTTAGTCTTTTCTATTTAAATTAGAAACAATCTTATTTTATATATCAATCCCAGTTCCCTCTCCCTCCCATCCTCCCGTCCTCCCATGCCCCGCACTGACCCCCATCCCATCCCTCTTCTGATCCATAGAAAGGGTGAGGCCTTCCATGGGGAACCATTACAGTCTGTCACATCTTTTGGGGCAGCATCTAGGCCCTTCCACTGTGTGTCTAGGCTGAGAGAATATCGCTCTATGGGGAATGGACTCCCAATGTCCATTTGTACACTAGGGATAAACACTGTTCACAACCAGAGGCCCCATAGACTGCCCAGGCTGGCTAACTAACATCCATGTTCAGGGGGCCTGGCTCTGTCCTTTGCTGGTTTCCAAGCTGTCAGTTTGGGGTCCATGAGCACCCCCCTTGTTCAGGTCAGCTGTTTCTGTGAGTTTCCCCAGCCTAGTCTTGACCACTTTACTCATCACTCCTCCCTCTCTACAACTGGATTCCAGGAATTCAGCTCAGTATTTAGCGGTGGATCTCTGCTTCTGCTTCCATCAGCTACTGGATGAGTCTCTAGGATGGCATATAAGGCAGTCAGCAATCTCATTATAGGGGAAGGGCATTTAGGATAGTCTCTTCATTATTGCTTAGAATCTTAGATGGGTTCATCCTTGTATATCTCTGAACATTTCCCTAGCACCAGATTTCTCTTTAAACTTGTAACTGATCCCTCTATTAAGGTATCCCTTTTCTTGCACTCCTTTATTCTTCCCCTGACTCAATCTTCCTGGTCCCTCATGTCTCCCCCCCTCCATCTTCTTCCCTTCTCTTTCTCCTAACTCCCTCTCCCCTCCCCCATGCTCTCAATTTGCTCAGGAGATCTTGTCCCTTTACCCTTCTCTGGGTGACCATGCATGTCTCTCTTAGGGTCCTCCTTGTTCCCTAGCTTCTCTGATGGTGTGGATTATAGGCTGGTAATCTTTTGCTCTATGTCTAAAATCCATATATGAGTGAGTACATACCATGTTTGTCTTTTTGTGACTGGGTTACCTCACTCAGGATGGTTTCTTCTAGTTCCATCCATTTGCCTGCAAATATCAAGATTCCATTGTTTTTTTTTTCTTTCTCCTGAGTAGTATTCCATTGTGTAAATGTACCACATTTTCTTTGTCTTCAGTTGAGGGTCTTCTAGTTTGCTTCAGGTTCTTACTATTACAAATAATGCTGCTATGAACATAGTTGCACAGATGCCCTTGTTGTATGAATGTGCATCCTTTGGGTATATGCCTAAGAGTGGAATTGCTGGATCTTGTGGTAGACTGATTTCTATTTTCCTGAGGAATCTCCATACTGATTTCCAAAGTGACTGTATGAGTTTTCACTCCCACCAGCAGTGGAGGAGTGTTCCCCTTTCTCCACATCCTCTGTAGCATAAACTGTCATTAGTGTTTTGATTTTAGTCATTCTGACATAACCATTTAGTCTCTACTATGCTCCATCTAACCTACCTCTTGTGACTATACTCAAAATTATGTTATATAAATGTTTGTTAGTAAAATCCTCTTTTACTAATAATAAAATAGCAATTATAATAAGAATAACCAAAAACCCAATTCCTAATAAATGCTCAGAGAGCTCCACAGCTTGTCAGTGGGAGAAGTGGGTTAGAGCCTGATTATGGGGGCTCACACTCCCTCTGAGAAATCTGTTGTCAAGGGGGAGAGGGATGGAGCTGTGTTTTCTCCTGTCAGGATTGTACCTGAAAAGGCATGTCTCAGAGTTGACAAATGCCCCTCAAAGCAGAAGAGCTGCAGCTCCAGGCTGTGTCACTGCCTGATCCCTACCGTCTACTGCTACACAAGTACATCACCTCTTTAGCCCTCTCTGCTCTGACTGCAAGGGAAAGTTACTTTCCAAAGAACTTTGGTATGACGCTATTTAACAAAAGAAAAGCAATTAAAAACCTGGCCTGTGGAAATGGAATTAGTGTGGAAGGATTTAAAACAACTTTTAGCCAGGTAGTGGTATCCTGCACCTTTAATTCTAGCACTTAGGAGGCAGAGGCAAGCGGATCTCTGTGAATTCCAGGTCAGCCTGGTCTACAGAGTGAGTTCCAGAATAGCCTAAGCTGTTACACGAAGAAACTGTGCCTCAAAACTAAAATTAATTAATTACACAATCAATCAATTAAATAATTACTAATTAATTAGACTAATTTTTAATGCCCAGAGTTTTCAAGGTCGCTGGATTAAGATTCAGGACACAGGTTCTACTTCCTTGCCTTTTCCCTGCTTTCCTTCCTTTTCCCCTATTCCTTTCTTCTTCTTCTTCTTCTTCTTCTTCTTCTTCTTCTTCTTCTTCTTCTTCTTCTTCTTCTTCTTCTTCTTCTTCTTCCACTTCTTCTTCTTCTCTGAGGTGAATTCTTTAGATGTTTGCAATGCCCGTAATGCTTGTGACTAGATGAGAAGAAGAAAAGGTGCCAAATATATAAAATGATAATATTTGAGGAGATAGGAAATGGTAATCACCTTGATTTATTCATCACACACTCTTTTTTAGTTTGCTGAACTATAACACTATGCCCTAAAAAAATAAATACAAGTAACTTGGCAACCAAAAAGTAATTAAAATAATGTTGTTAGCTCATTGTTATAAAGCATTGTTTTGTGTCAGACACATCAATGTGTTATCTCATTTAAGACTATGGGTCATCTTGTGAAGATAAAAAGTTTTAAAACCTAATTTGTAGGTGAAGAAATAGAGAGTTGAAGAAAGTGAATCATTTAATTGGTGAACGGAAAGACTGGAGTTAGGTTTCAGATCCATCTTGATTAAACTCAGTGTCACACTTTGGGCCCTCATCTCCATCACCACTAGGCATTCAGTCGAGCTGACTCATCCAGTTCTTGGAAGATAAGTGGGTTGGTGTACATGAATTTCCCTGAGTTGGACACTTGTGGGGTATTTGCAAAAAGAATTCCAGCCATTTAGAACATGGTTGTTGCCAGGGTTAGCACCTGGTAAATTAATCAATAGTTGTAGTGTCCTGAACCCCATGTGATAGCCAAAAAGACAAAAACAATCATGCAAGTTGCGATTGCTGATTGCAAGAAATTCACCATTTGAGAGTCAAGATAGGACTATTCATGATGAAGTGGAACTTATGTGAATCCTGGTGACTCAATATCTGTCCCTGTCATTTATTGCCTCTCAGACCCTTCAAGCCTGGATCATCATAGATACTAATGGTGTAGCAAATCTGATGGTGAGGTGGACCCTGAGTGTTACAGGAGAGCAGAAGGATCAGAGGCCGAGAAAATGAATCTACTCTCAAGGCCTCAGAGAAGGCAATAGATTTTATGACCCTGATGAATAGTTTTCATTATAATATGATCCCATAAGGGTCATCTGCTTCTCCTAGATAGAGTTGGCCTGGCAAGGGAAGCTAGGAACCAGATGAGCTTCTTCCTCTGGTAGGTGAGGTGTCCTGTTTGCTGTTCCAATACCACCAATAGATAGTGATAGGGGCACATACTTCCATGCTTTCTAACACTTTGAAGTCTGACTGTGCCTCAAATCAAATAGCTTACTTGCAAGTGAGACTTCGGGAGCTATCACAATTCCCTTAATGGTATTCTGCCTTAACAAATGGCTTGGTGCCGAGGGAGAACACACAGAAGAGATGGAGAAGTGAAAGAGAAGATGATAGGCATTCTCAATGTCGTATCATTAAAACACAGTGAATATCTTTGTGTCCTTGAATCTCAATTTCTGAATTGATATATCCATCAGGTGAATCAGAAGAAAAGATATAATTCTCATTGGCAAAGAAGAAATAAATGGAAGTACAGCATCCCACAACTACCAAGACCCAGGAGCATAAGGTATGTGGTTGGGAGTTCAGATCCCAAGAAATTTAACAGGCCCAAAATGGGCTCAGAAGAAAAAAAATGAAAAATAACAGAAGCAGTTACAAAAGCCTAAATAGAAGTCTAGATGTCTGAACTAAGGGATGCTAGTTTTAGGGTAACAAGAGTTGAGTCGAGACAAGATTAAGGCGAAGTGTACAAATCTACAAATTTAAACAAAAACACCCAGCCAGGCACACTCAGGAAGCTCCTGAACATTCAGCAAAGATGGCACTGGATTCCCACCGGGTCTCCTCTTTCTGTTGCAGCACCATCTTCCCTGACTACTGCAGTCCATACTCAATGATACTCACTGATGTGGGGTGACAAGGACTAGACTTCTTGTCCCAATATTTCAAACCCAACTCCCGCAAGACCAACTGGGCATTTGGGGATGCTGCACCTCAGCCCTGCACTTAACTCTGAATGATCTTGCTTGTTCATCCCTCACATGGACCGTTCCCAAGAGCACCACTCTGTGCAGCTCCTGCCAGCAAATTCCTATCTCACGAAAAGGAACCCTGACTTAGGGCTCTAACAAGGTTTCCAGAATCCCCAAACCAAACCAAACCAAAGCTCAAAACCTCCCCTCCACACCCCACTCCCAAACCTGTAGTGTTTTCTGATAGACACACAGAATTGGTGAAGTATGTAGGGATGTTAGATAGGCATATATTTACCTATAACTTTATACCTGAAATTATGTATACTGAAAGCTAAAGGCAGTGAAATCAAAACTCTTGTGAGACAAGTTTTGACAGCAAAGAAACATGTTAATAGTAAAATTTTACTTATTTACTTTTAAATTTTAAAATTTAATGTTTATTATTTAGTTCAAAGGGAATTTATTTGGAGTAGCTAAGAACTAATGGTATTGCTACTTGCACAAGAGTTCTAATGGAAACACTGTAAGTCATCCTCATGATATCTTAGTAAATGAAGATCTTGTGATTGACAGAAATGGAAATCTTGAACCACAATGAGAGTTTACAGTACTAGAGCAAGTGTAGGTTACTGGACACAAGGATGCTTTGTTAGAACTAAAGGCTCTGAGAGATGTAGGGAATGTAGGGGGATCTGGAAGCAGGCATTATGAAAGAAAAGTCATCCCTTAATTATGATTCTGCTAATGGGAGTGAAAATTAACTTTAATGGTTAGTGGAGGGAGAACAATAAAAAATGCAAGTCAAATTGCCAGACAGAATAAAAGAACAAAGAGGATCTTGAGTCAATAACAAGACAACCAATAACAAAGCAAGCAACCTACACAAAGAAACAATAGAAAAATACAAAAGGAATTAGGTATAAGTTGGAGAAATAAAGGAGACCAGCCATTATGTGTAGCATGAATGGATACAATTCTCTGTGAAATGTCAGACTGGGCTGAAAATAGAACTCAGTCACATGCACTAAGTTCACAGCTGTGACCAGGTAAAGTGCTATGAAGAAGGTTGGACAAATGTAGCCGGGATGACTGTGCATGTTAACAAAAACAAAGCAGGAAACAATTCAAATCCAGAAGAATCTAGACACAGATTTGAATTCTATCAGTGTCCACAAAAGATACTGTGTAATGATATCATAGCTCATTAAGGAAGTTTGGCAGTCACAAAATATTGAATAATATGGCTGCCTGATACGAAAAGTTAAAATTCAAGAACTATGATAACAGACTACAGTTATGTTGGGACTGTTTCATTAACCATCTTCATAACTAAGATAGATAAACTAAGATAGAACTAAGGATAGACTAAGGAAACCTCAGTGAATACTGAATTTCAGCACAATGGTCAATCATCAGACTGCACACAAGACAAAATTATATACAAATATGTGGGTATACACCTCTACACAAAGAACTTGGAATCTTACCCTGTGTTCATGACACATTTCTAGAAGTTACTAGGTATTTTGACATGAAAAAATTTAATAGTATAAGTTTTATAGGTTGCTTTTCTGATCACACTCCAGTAAAACTGGAGATGAATATAAAAATCTCACAAATATTTCATAAAGCTAAGATGTATGCTTTAAAACAATCTTTGGATCAAAGAAGAAAATCGATTAAAGATACAAATCAGGGTCTGGGGAACCTGCTTAGAGATTAGGAACACGGGCTGCTCTCTCTTGTAGAAGATGTGGGTTTGGTTCTCAGCACCCTCAAGGCTGCCAGTTCCAGGGTATCTGATGCTTTTGGCTTTATGGGACCTGGGGACATGTACATTCCCCACAAACCAAGCAAATACACATAATTAATTTAAAAATAAAACAAACCTTTAAAATGTCTGATACAAATTAAAAAGTAGCCAAACCAAGGAGTAATATGGAGAAGGGAATTCATAAAAACAAAAGTTAAAACTGGAAACAAACATAAAAAGAAGTAAAATTAAAAGTGGATTCTTTGACAGTGTTGATTAGCTACGTATAACCCTGTCAAGACTGATTAAGGAGAAAGAGAGAGAGAAGCTAAAATAAGTACAATGTTGATATGGAAAGCATCACCCCAGTAAGAGAAAATGAGACCATTTAGGGTGGGGAGTGACGCAACTGCTCTAGATGTAAATGTAAAAGCAAAAAGGTGGTGGATGACTTCCTAGTAGAAGCACAAGTGCTCAAAATGAATTATAAATAGATGGGAAACATGGGAAGATCCCCTATGGCAGAACAACTGGGAGAAAAAAGATCTCTCAGTGAAACGGCACCAGACCGAGATATGTCACAGATGATGCTGTTACCTTTTAAGAATTTAGTTCCTGCCAGTATCATATAAACTCTGTTTCCCCAGAAAATGGAAGACATTGACACTGCTTGTGAATGTGCCTCCTAAGTGATGTGCAAAACTTAACGATTTCGATAAGGAGCTATAAGCAGAGGACGGCCCCATGTCCCACACCAATGTCACACTAGGAAGAGGACCATGGGCCCCTAAGATTAAAATGGAGCTGAAAACTTCCAACAATCTAGTGATACCATAGCTGCCCTCAAATTGTAGTCTAAAACCTTGCTTATGTGTTTGCTGAGATGCTCTTGTAAAGGAACCTGTGCTCCCAGTTGTATGAAGTATAGCAGTGTGATTATGGACTCGGCATAATATGTGGATATGGCCACTAAACAACTATGCTACTGCTTTATGTATTTGATAGGTTATACACCTTTTGATACATTTAAGTGTGCTTCGTACCCTCCCCCCAAAAAGGGGTTACTATAAAATTACACTGAATTCTAAGAGAAGTTATCATCTAACAATATACTTTTAACTGATATATAGTTTTCATATATCTTGATTGTTTTTTCAATTTCTCAATCTCATTCATATCCTCCCTACCTTCATAACCACCCAGCATTATTTTCTCAATTTCTCTTAAAAAAGAAAAAAACACCCAGACAAAACCAAAACAAAACTCAAGAAACATGCCGAACCACAAGAAAAATATCAAAGCAAACAAGCAAAGACTGATAAGAGAAGAAATGGCTTCTAAAATGAAAATAAGACAAAAAGCTGCTCACAAACACCACCACCACCACCACCACCAACAACAACAACAACAGCACAGGGTTGGTTTTATGTTAGACAGCTGTTCTTAGACATGGTGTCTCCTTTAAGGTGTGGTTAATATATCCAGTGAGACTCCATTGGAGGAAAAACTGATTTTTTTCTTTTAGCAGTGGGTATCAGTTGCACATAGTCCCTTGGTAGAAGCACACGTCCACTTCCCTCTGAATGCTGGGACCTCATCTAGCTTGAATCCGAGTGGGCCTTACCTGTGCTGTCACAGTATCTACGAGTTCATATGTGCACCAGTCCTGTTGTATCTGGAGGGAACACTGTTTCCTTGGAGTCATCTTATACCTGTGGCTCTTACAATCTTCTTCTGCCTCTTCTTCCCAGATTCCTGAGCCTTAAAGGGGAGGGTTTTGATGAAGATATCCCATATAGGAACGAGGATTCTAAAGTCTCCCACTATCTGCATATTGTCCACTTGTGGGTCTTTGTGTTAGTTCCCAGGAAGCTTCTGCAAGAAGAAGCTTCTCTGATGTGGGCTGAGTAAGGTGTTGATCTACAGGGTTAGCAAAAATGTCATTAGGAGCCATTTAATTACTATGTTCTTTAGCAGAATAATGGTACTAGGTTTCCTCTAGGCCCATGATCTATCTAGTCTCAGGTTCTTGGATACTTGAGCAGTATAGGCGTGGGCTCCATATCATCAAGTGATTCTTTAATCACGGCAGAAAGTGGCTGGTTACTTCCATAACTTCTGTGCCGCTGTTGCACCCGTTTACCTTGCTGGCAGGTCACGGTTGTAGATTGAGGGGTTTGTAACTGGGAGATACTGATGATTGTCTTTCTCCTCTGGTGGCATGTGGAGTACCTTCCACTACTGTAAGTGCTAGTCAATAGGGGTAAAGCTTCTAGTTAGGTACCAATTCAACTTCTCTGCTAGCAGCACACTTCTAAGGCCATGTTCTGTTATTAAGCAATAAATTACCATATTAATAGACCAAACCCATCAGAATATGTAACATGTAAGCATGTAATAGGAATGCTAGATAAGATTTATCACTGGTATGCATGAGTATATTTTAATCACTACTGTTGTAGTAACTTAGCTAATCATAGTATGTATAAGCAACGGGCAAGTCTTCTGATAAGTCTTAATATGGGCGACGGTGGTTAGTGGGTGCCAAAACTCAAATTTCCATTAGCTTGGAGATTGAGCAGTCGGAAAGAGTCAAGGGTAGACATGGAGTTGGGGGAATGGAATAATCTAGCATTAGGCCTAGACAATAGTGTTTGTGCTTATTGATAGACAGATTGATGTTTCTGGTTTTTGGAATGTTTCTGTTAGAAATGTTTTGAGAATTTCATACAATGTATTTTGAATATATTTGTCTTTCAAGTCTTCTAAGATCCACACCTGCTTCCATACCTACACTGAAAAACACACACACAAGCAACACTGAGTTTAATTTGTGCT